CCTCTGCACAGCCCTGGTCCCACACTCCGCTCCAGCACGCTTGCTCCCGCCTTGTACCCACAGCCACTCCCACCTGCAGCAGCGCTTGGCCCAGATGCAGCCCCATGTTCTGGGGCTCAGCATCAATCTCCCATTGCTGCTCCTTGGATTGTGAGGTGCCGCCCAAGCTCTGTTGACAGCATCTGCCTCCATCCCTATCTCCTGCTCACTTGTCTGGTGCTTTCTCTGTGCTCTCAGCCCACTTCCGGTAGAGGGGAAGAGATAGTGATAATGCTGTGATAAACTACTCTTTCACCCCTATTGTCCACGGACACCCCCATCCTGTGCCTGTGGCCATAGCTGCAATGCTCATCCCGAGGACTTGCCAGTTAAGATGACTTTTCATGGCTTTCATCTCAAGCCCAGTGACGTGAACACCCTACAAGTCCTGCAGAGGAGTCCTGATGCAGGAGTGGGGAAGCCAGCTAGGAAGGATGCCTTCATTTCAATGCCAATCCTATTGATTGACATTTTATATTTCAGACTCGATGGTTATATAGCCTTTATACCTTAAAATGGAATCCATCTCAGCAGCTCTTCTTGAGTACCAGCTTTGTGTCTGGCCTGTGCAGGGCACTAGGATGACCCCTTCCTTGTTCTTGGGGAGCTCTCATCTGTCTGGACCATATTTATGTTCATTCAAGTTCATGGTGGTGCTAATCTTCCTCTTATACATAATTATATTTTACGTATAGTTTTTTATTTTTAAAAATCCTCTGGAGAAACATGCCATCTGTGTGTATTACCTATTACAGCTCTTAGCTTGGTGCCATGGACCAGAAGGCAATTAATGTAAGCTCTTTGATGATATTGCACTTCCTGGAAGCTTCAGGCATTTTCTTTCAATCATTCTAGTTAGTGTCTTAATGTGGTAATAGGCTGATTGATTTTTATGTGAGTCTTAATCACCCATCAGATGTTCAGCTTGAAATCTAATTCCACCTCCACGAACACATGACCTTGGTCAGATTGCTTAACCTTTCTGAACCTAAGTTTCTTCATCTGTTAAAACAGGAATAATAAAACCAGCACAGGTTTGATATGATAATTAAATAACAGAATTCCAGCCAAAAGGCTATACACCCATAACATTCTATCCAGTCGCATTTCTTCAGCACATACCATGGTCCAGATACTGTGCTGGTCCTTGGGAGTATGAAGAGAATAATACACAGTCCACCCTCCCCCTCGAATCCACAAGCTGGTGGGCAGAGATAGATGTGAGCAAGTAGTTATGATACTGTGGGGACCTGGAATTGGCCACCCCAAGATATGTCTCTTTGGCATCAGGATTATTTGAGGCTGATTGCTTTTGATAAACTGGGACAGGGAAGGAGGCTCTGAGGAATGGAACTTGCCCTTTGTTGGGACACCTTTGCATTTGTAGGGTAAATCTCTATCTGTAGGGGTTGCCTCCCTCGCTGTACCAGGAAGAAGAAAGGAGATGACCTTCTCTCTAAAAACTCTCAATCAATACCAAAGGCAAGGACTTAAAATCTGCATTTTATTGTGCTAGTCTGGTAACCTCCTGTAACTGACTTCCCTCCCCCTCCCAACACTGGCATTTCTTAAGGATTAAGCATCTTTCCTTAGGCTAGGAACTGATTGCTGCGCTCACCTGTGACCGCCCAGCTCCAGACAATTGACTAGCCTCCTGCTACGACCACCGAGATAGCCGACCACTACCTGCTGTGTCCATCAAGCACTGTGCCGACAGGGCAATCTTGTGACTATTGTGGGAGGGACATTTCAATCACATGTGAAACACCCCGTTTGGGGGTATATAACCACTATGTGCACCCCACTTCTTCGGTTCCCTTTCTTCCTTCGGGAAGAAAGGCCCCGGGCCATGGTTCCTCATAAAGCTTTGTTTAATTTTCTCTTGCTATTCTGTCTCATGTGAATTTAATTCGTTCTCCAGCCAGACGAACCCCCATTTGGGAAGAGGAAATGTCTTCCTCCCCTACAATACACACAGATCTCTAAGAGAAGCTGTTTAGGGATTGTAGAGAGACAGGGAATAAATATTTATTACGCACTGACTATGTGAGTATGAGGGAGCCCCAGCAGAGTCAAAGTGTATTTAAATGTGCGTATTCATAAACTCATTTGGACTTTGCCTTCTCCATGGTTGGGTTCCCTGGGTGTCTGACTTTCCTGTAACAAGTACCAGGAAGCCAATCTTGATTCTTCCTCCCTCCGGAACAACCTCATCCCCAAGAACAGCAGGGAATGCTGATGACCACTGAACACATTCTGAAACCATCAGCCAAATCCGGGGCCAGATAAATATGCAAAGAAGGGCTCCCTGTTGACCCTTCCCCTGAATGCTTTCCCAGCCCTGCTGTCTCCTGCTGCCCAGTAACCCGTTGCCATGGGAGACAAGTGTACTTAGTGTGACAAGTCACACCGCACCCTGAGCCTCACTAGTCCCATGTCAGGCTGACCCCAATGCAACAGCAACTTCTCCAAGTTACTGAGAACAGAATACATTCATGTTTAAATGCATCACACATCTCCATGAGATCTTCTCTTGCATAACCATATTGCCTTTTCCCCTCGTTGCAGGAGCCTGCAGAGGAATGGATCTTGCCTGTCTGACCCCTATGGATGCTTGGGTTGATTCCTTTGCTGCTACCCCCATCTCCTGGGTGTCAGGTTCCAAACCCACCCAAAACCAAGCCTGGATGGGCCCCTTCCTTGATGAGACAGGAGACACTTATGGAATACAAATCACCACCCTGCATTAAGCTCCCCAGCAGTGCTGAAGACGGAATGAGAAGAGATAAATAGAAGCCAGCTTTTAAGACTTCCATATCAATGGATAGAATTTGGGTAAAAGGAGGCCTACAGGCTTAGCTTCTCTGCAGCTGAACCTGACGTTTTTCCCTTTCCAGCAGAGACAGATTGCAACATTTGGGCAGCCCTTATATATCATACGCCCTTGTAATTTTGTATATAGAGTCTATTAGAGATAATAATAACAGCTAATATTTGTTGGTTACTACTGCAGGTCAAGTACTTGATATATGTTTATTTCATTTAATGCCTATAGCCACTCTGTGAACACTTGGATCAGCCCCTCTTTACAGATTAGGCATTTGAGGTTTGGAAAGTGTGATTTTTCTGCCCAAGATCACATGGTGAGTGGGGGAGGCAGCATTCATCCTCGGATGTCTAACTTTAGGTGACACCCTCAACTCTTGCACGATACTCTTGCTAGAGAAGCAGTCTGGGAGAGTGATCAAGTGACAAAGACCACCCACCTCGGCCACTTACCAGCTGCATGACCTTGGGCAGGTTACTCAATTTCTCTATAAAATGAGGATAATAATAGTACTGACCTCATAGGGTGGCAGTAGTAGTCAAGAATTTAACATACAGAAAACATTTAGTATCATGCGTGACATAGAGTAAGGATCCAATACATGTTAGTTATTTTTATAAACACTAAGTCCCTCTGAGTTAGGGGCCTCACTTTAGTCCTATTTGAATCTTTATCCCCAGTACATAGCACAGAGCAAAGTACATAACAGAAACTGATTCAACATTTCTGGAATAAATTAGGAGATTGAATATTCTAGAAGACAGTTATCACTAAGCCTTATTTTTTATAAGTGCTTCATTATTTACAAAATGCTGTCATTTAGTTTAATTTGGTGTTTGTATTTGAGTTAAAACACCAAGAAAATTTGACCCAGTAATTCAACTCCTAGGTAGGTACCCAAGAGAAATGAAAACATATGCCGCTACAAACACTTGTACATGATCGTTGATAGCAGCATTATTCACATTAGCCAGAAGGTGGGAACAACCCAACTGTCTACCAACAGATGAATGGATAAACAAAATGTGTTATATCTATAACAATGGAATATTATTTAGGCATAAAAAGGAATGAAATATTGATGGAAGTGAGCAAAAGTGAAGCCATCTTGTTTTGCTAAATGGCCCCAGCTCCTCCGCTGTGTGACAACTCGCTGCTCTGCATGTACTCTAAAAAATTCACATGCTCTCTTAATTTATGGTCTCCCACTTACATATGTACTCCCCAATAGCTTGATAAATTAAAACTTTGTTCTGAGTTTCTCTCCAGGAACAGGCTGACCACAGGTGGGAAACACACCTACAAAGTATCCATCACAGCTGACAGAAGAATGGAACAATAAAAGACCCTGGAGTCTGTCATGCCTGAAGGAAACCCCCTCCTTACTGCCGATTTTCCCTATGTAACTACCTCAAGATTCTATAATCCTTGAAGATGGGTTTTTGAGTTGTTAGTCACCCATCTTCCGATTAGCCGGCTAATCTAATTAAACTTCCTTTCTTGATCTCTAACTCATTGTGATTAATTGGCTCAGATCACAGCAAGCAGAGCAAGCCCATTGCTCTGCGTCACTGATAGATGCTACAACCTGGATGAACCTTGAGAACATTATGCTAAATGAAAGAACCAGTCATAGAAGACCACATATTATAAAATTCTTTTAATATGAAATGTCTAGAATAGACAAATCTATAGAGATAGAGTGTAGATTAATCATTACCTACGGCTAGGAGGATGAGAGTAGTCGGGGGGGGGGGAGGGGGGGCAGGGGCGGGTGATAACCAAAGGTTATAGGGTTTCTTTTGGGGTAATACAAATGTTTTAAAGTTGATCATGACAAGGTTGCACAACTCTGTGAATATATTAAAAACCATTGAATTGTACACTTTAAAGGAGTGAATTGTATGGTATATGAATTGTACCTCAATCAATAAAACTATTTAAAAAAAAGTCAAAGGGGCCGGCCCGGTGCAGCGGTTAGGTTGGCACGTTCCGCTTCTCTGCGGCCCAGAGTTCGCCAGTTCGGATCCCGGGTGCGAACACAGCACCGCTTGGCAAGCCATGCTGTGGTAGGCATCCCAAGTATAAAGTAGAGGAAGATGGGCACGGATGTTAGCTCAGGGCCAGCCTTCCTCAGCAAAAAGAGGAGGATTGGCAGTAGTTAGCTCAGGGCTAATCTTCCTCAAAAAAAAGAAAAAAGTCAATATAGTGATGTCTCCAAATCAGAAGCTCAGCAGCATTAAGTCTGGCCAGCTTACTAGATTTCCTGTTCTGCTCATACGCCGATTCGTGCAGCCTTGGCCACCTGCATCCTCACCAAGGCTGACTGGGGTGGGGATAGAAAGCCAACTGCCTGTCATTGTTCGAGGTGAGATGGGGAAAAATTAATTAACAATCCTTCTTCTACTCCAGTTCAGCTGCTCCTCAAATGCTTCTTTTTAATTGTGCCTCCTCTCTAGGTCTATTGGGCGTGATGAAAGTCTGGTGGACTGGTCAGTCCAACGCAGAGACGCGAGCTGTAAGATGAAGCTGCAGCTACAGCCTGGTCTTTCTCAAAATTAAATGCAAGGTGAAAAGCTGGAAACCAAGGCTGGAAAGTCTAAATATCAAGTCTATTAATCATTTTCAAGTCAATTCCCTTCTCACGATCTTGTCTCAGAGACGTAAAATCTTGATGTTGGGGTATACTCACGGCATCTTTTGTTTTAATGACATTTTGCAAAACAAGCAAATGGTTGATGGAAAGAAGTCAGGATTCTAAGCAAGCTGCCCCAGTTTGAAAAGTTGTAGAAGATTGCCAAAAGGATTCCAAAAGCTACAGGTATTTAAAAGTGAAAACAGAGGAGAAATGATGCTTAGAATTCATGAGAGTAGGTATGAAGGCATGTAATTATGACTGAGACTGAAATATAATGTTATCACTTGGAAATCTTGTTCTTTGCTCTACTTTCCACTGATGACGCTATATATAGACGTGCTCACAAGGGAAATTCCTTAGGCAAAAGGCAAAAAAGAAAAATTGTACTTTCCCTTTTCCTGGTCACTGTTAGTACTGTTAATTCAAACACAAATAAATATTAATTTAGGTAGTGACTTTGAGAAGATTTACAGATGATGTCTTGGTTTCACTAAATGATGAGTACTGACTTATTACTGAGTGTTCTCAGCTCCTCACATGTGTTATCTCATTTAATGCCTATGGTGCTCTATGGGATGGGTACTATTTATTATCATTGTTTTATTATTATTCTATTTAGCAGACGAAGAAAGTAAGGCACAGAGCAGTTAAGTAGTTTGCCCAGGGTGACATGCCTGGTATAAACGATAGAGATGAGATCTAAGCCCTGTCTGACTCCAGAGTCATGTTCTTAATCACTATCATATTCTGCCTCACCAGTAAAGTGACAGCTCTTAATTTTGCTCTTGATGCTTCTACTTTGGAGAGTTGAACATATTAGAACCTTGGAAAGAAATATCATTACACCAATAATATCACTTTGTTTATTTAATATTTTTAAAAATATTACTATTTTTTATTTATCATGTGTGTTGGGTACTCTCTATAAGCAAGGTGGTGTCCACAGGCAGCCACATGGTGATATGCCTGAGGGACTTTGCATATGCTACCCCTTTGCCTGGCATGCCCTGCTCTCCTCCTCCATGTTACCTAACTAACACCTACTCAACCTTCAGATACCAACTTAAAACATCGCTTCCCAGACGAGTGATCCCTTGACCTCCCCTTAACTCACTCCTCTGTCACACATTCACTTAGCCTCCTACATTCTTCCCTTGTGCCACTTTCCAAGCGTGTAATCAAATGCGCAACTAGTTGTTAGGTGGCTGTCTTCCCTGCTGGAAAGGAAGTTCCACGAGGGCAGAACTGGCCCCTATCTGGTTCACTACTGTTTCTCCTGTGCTGAGCAGGCCACCTGCTATGCTTCGTTAATGTCTGAACAGCAAATGAATAAACGAGTGAATGAGACATCTGTCGTGCCCTTGTGTTACTTACATTTTAGTGTGTTCTACACAAGCATGTACCTACAAAATGGGGAAAGAGGGGTTTAGAAGAAGGAGCTCATCAGAGAGGAGCCGATCAAGGCTATAACATTTGAGCTGGCCCTTGGAGGATGGGCAGACATTTCAGATGGAGAAAAACTAAGAGTGAAGCAGAGAGCCAGGTGAGTGAAGCCTGCTGAGTAAATTGCTGTGGTGTGTTATGCTTATTTAGAAAATAAAGTAAGAAAAGAGTAAAACAGCAAATGTTGTTTTCCTTTTACCTGAAAGCATTCAGGTATAGATTGTCTTCTGGGGCCTAAAACCAAATGGAATTGTTTAGCTTGAGGATAGCTGTCTTCACATATTGATGAAAATTACAAGAGCTAAAATGCAAAATATAACTTGTGCCTTTGGCCCATATACCACCTCTCACTGAGAAGGAAAGGAAGAGAGCCATGAATTTCTAATCGATGGGTGAGATGTCTTCCTTGTTTCTGGGCCTTATGCTGCTTTCTTGATCTCAGACAGCAGGATGAGGTTGCAGAATTTCTCAGCCAAGTCATGGAGAGGCTCTTAAAAACCAGTCCGTCACTTTTTAAGCCCAAAATCAATAAAAGAAATCACAGAAAGATCAATCTGACTCTATAAAAAATAAAAACTACTATATGTCAAAAACTCACACAACCTAAATGAAAGACAAACAGTAAACTGAGAAAAATATTCACCAGTACCACGATGGCGAAATCCAGTCCAGTTCAGTTCACCACACACCAACTGAGCATTCCCGTGTATCTGGAACTCCTGGGTATGGAGATCTTCAGGTCTCATATGACAGTTTCTGTTCTCGTGGAGCTCTGCTGAGAGGCCAGGACCAGCCCAATGCAATGTGTAAGACCACAGGGGCTCTGAGAAAAGAGAAAGGGTGGCCACCTAATGTTGCCTGAGGCTCAGCGAAGGCTTCCTGAAGAGAGGCCTCAGACTAGTGAAAGTTGAGGAGAACTTACGCAAGGCAACAAGGGAGAGAGGAGGAGGGTATGCAAAATGAGAGAAATGAATGAAGGCACAGAGACGTGAAACATCTTGGTATGCACGTGTGTGTTGAGGGTGGTTACAAATTCGTCAGGGTTCTGGAATAAAGTTCAATGTTGGAGTGATGGAGATGAGGCTGGACAGATAAACCAGGATTACCTTACAAAAGTTTTCACTTTATCCTCTAGCTGACACGGAGTCGCTGAAGCACATAACAAGGACCTGGACAGGGACAAATCTTGCAAGGCAAGGAAGTCATTAGAATTGACTTAGGTAGAGTTTCTGGCAGAATAGCTTTAGATTGGTGAGTGCAGTGAGGTTAGGGTTTTGAAGTGAGTTTTGATGAGCATGCTCTTAGTTTTGATAATTTAACTGTTTAGTTGGCTCACAGCCTCCCTTGCAGGAGTTGGTGTTTCCTGGAGCAAGCAACTCAGTTGTGTTTGCTTACTCTCGGTATTGTTTATCAGGCATAGGAAAGTGTGCCTGGTCGCAGCATCATTTACTGCTGGGACAGGAAATTATGTTGGTTTCAGTGCAGAAACCTACCCAAGACTGTCTTGCTTCAGCACCCCACTCTTAACCCACCCTGCCCCCTTCATGATGTTTTTGGCTGAATAAAGCAGATTCTAAAAAAAAAATCTGCGTTTGGGAAATGGGGTTATGGAGACCCTGGAATTGCCTGATTGGGTGGAATAAATGGCTTCTAGGGTTAGACCAACAGCTATGGGTAGGGAGTGAGCTTTCCCTCACTGTGGAGGAGGGGTGCAGTTTTACATGCAGGGGACAGAAGAAGAAGAGGGGTAATCTGGAGGGGCAGAGAGGAGGGCTAACATCAAGATGCAAGGAGTAAACTGATGCCTTGGAGAGACATAGTGGGATCTTCTGTGAAGAGTTTATCCTTTTTTGTTGTTCATTTCCCATAGACAGCCTGAGTCACTTTTGGTGTACTATTAAACATTTCCCTCTCCTTTATTGAGACAACTTTTGGACGTCCCAGCTTGAAGCTTTGAAAGTGAGGTGTTGGGAATTAGAGGTTTGAGCAGTAAAGGGAAAAGCGGTCCTTGCAACACCATCCATCCGCGGAGGCCAGTGTGGGATGGAGGTTTCATAGCATGGAAAGGACCCGGAACACCAACAGAGATGGGAGAGGAGAAGCGCGCCAGGTCCATATAGCTGCTACATGGATGCCTAAAACAAACTCCTCCCCTTTCCCCAAATATGTTAGAGGAAGGCTGCCTTTGAAGAGCGCAATCTCACGTTTGGGTTATCTGTGTATCCCTGGAAAAACTAAACACCTTGAAAAACAAAAAGACCTTTAAAAGAAGAAGGGTTATTTTCATTCTCCATGAATTTTATGTAGGGATGCAGAAAGAACTAGATTAAAATGAGCAAGAACAGCCTACAAGATCCTTAATTGATAAGGGAAGAACTCATTAATTGGTGGCTGTCTTGAATAATATGCATTGGAAAGTGCGTAATCTAAAGTAGCACACTGAATAAGAAAAAATAACCAAGGAAATAAGGAAGTAGTCAAGAAAAGTTCCATAAATTAAATCATAGTTTGAAAGGATAAAGTCATGTTAACACTCATTATCATATTTTAATTTCATGGTGATTAAAATTATAATGTAGCATGTATTACCACTTAATTGATCTGCCAACATCAAGTATTTGCAAGTTTCTTTTTGTTCTCTGAAGTCATAAACTAACTATTCTTTGCAGCATAATTTCAGAGGTAATTTTAAACCATAAATATTTCTCTTTATTAAGATCCTCAGGAAATTAGAGTCTCGATCGCTACTTATTTATATCTGCTTTGGCAAGAGGCCAGGAAATTCATTTTCTTATATTTTGAATTCTACAAAATTAAAGTGCTAAAGAATTTTATCTATTAATCTTCATGCTTCCTTTTATGACAGTTTTACAGTTTAATCTCAATGTTCAGATATCCAAGGGTGACTAGCTAAACTATGTCCCTTTAAAATTGAGTATTTTTCTGTGACAGAAAGCCTCCCCTTTTTGAGGACGCAGACCCATCCCACCGCCAGTCACTGTGCCTTTGCAGCACGTGGCTAGCCTGCCCATCACCCCCTGGTGATGCCAGTCTCCAGAGACCTGGCAATAGGCAGGACCTTCGCTCCCCTGGGGTACCCCTACCTCACACATGCATCCTTTGGATAAGATGATGTCCTTGTGCTGACCCCTTGTTGCAGTCTGCCCTGACCCCTCAGAAGGCAGCCGTCTCCAGCCTGATCTAGCACTTCTCTCATTGGTGCATCTGTGCTAGGCCACTCTGGTTCTGATGGAGTAAATAGGACACATATGTCACTGTGGAGCCTCATAAGTCTCTTTAGATAAAAATAATTTTGGAAAATTGCAAAACCCTCCAGAGACAATACCTTCCTAATGATTCCTGCCTCCTTTGACACACCATTACTCTGATTAATGGTCATTCAAATTGACCACCTGGCATAGCTCACTGTCAAAATCAAAAAAGACGTATTTTCAAAAGTCAAGTGCTGTCTTTTGTGTTGTGGAATCCGGCTGTGCATGCGTGTGTGTGTGCACACGCAGACTTAGCGCAATTACAAACAGATGCAGTACCTGAATCCTAAAATTGATTGGTAGCCCATACTCTGCATGAATATTCTCCAGCACCATTATTCTTAGGGCTTATAAAATTAGCTGTTACAACTAGTTCTCATACTTAGCAACCTGGTTAGACCATGGCTGACCAAATATTTTAAGCCAGTTAGAAGTAGAGAAATGCTTTGTAGAGACCTGTGGCATGAACTATCTGGAAGGTTAAAAAAAATAGGAGGCAGCGGAAACAGCCTGTTTTACATCATTATAAGCTATGAGCAAAGAAATCTACTTTCAGTGCCATCTCAGCAGGGGTTTGATCACTTCCCCTGACACTTTTTAAAAATCCGGCTCTGATGGGGTTTATTGAGAGCACATAAAACTCATACATGAGAGCACCATCCATGGTTCTAGAGCAGACTCGGGGAATATTTGATTTTAAGAAACAGAAATCCATTTTGAAAATGACACAAACCCCAAAGGAGAGCTTATGGAAGCAGACAGGGCATATCTCATAGACCCCAAGGGCAGAAAGTATAGCCAAAGGTCCCATGTAAATGAAAGTCAGGACTCAAGGTTAAGGGCTGCACAGTCCCTCAGCTCTTCCCTCTCTGGTCCAGCTCTCATGGGTCCATGAGCAGAGCCCAGGCTCCTCCTCCACCTGATTTCCAAGTTCCAGCATCTCAGTCCCTGAGTCTCTGAGTTTAAGTTGAAGTGAGAGAGAGAAAGAAAATTGAATTGTTCTCTGGCCAGCCAATGGACTGGACTCTCCTGGGTCAAGCAGCTCAGAACTTTGGGTGCAAATATTTTAGGTAGAGCAGCATCTCAGCAACATTGATCAATGTCTCTGTAACACACAAGATCTCTGGTCAAAAGGAGCTCCTCGGCATCCCACTTTTGGTACTTAATGAAGCAAAAGCACCAGGTATGAAGAGGTTCCATTATTTCACAAAGGCCACGGGAAGCGTATTTTGTGAGAAGGCACTGGAGTGTATGTGTGGGGCCTGGGATTAGAAAATCTGAAGACTGTAGGAAAGAGTTGTAGCCTTGGGATGAGGATAAATACAGAGCTGCAAGGGCCAAGGTGAGACTCTGAAAAATGGGAAGTGACCAGGTTAAGGCCACAGACCAGGAGGACAGATATTGGGAGAGGAGTAAGGCATCATCAAAGGGTTAACCACGTTATCATCTCAGCAAGAGACACACGTCCTCTCATTTAATCCTTACAACAAAGCTCCCAGGCAGTGAGAGGGGGCTTAGTGTGCTGATCACACACCCAACCTCTGGAGTCCGAATGTCTGGGTTCAAATTCCATCCCTGCCACTTACTAGTGGCTGGAACTTGGGCTAGCTGTTTTTCTTTTCATGCCTAAATTCCTCATCCGCAAAATTCCAACAAAGGATTCGCTCCCACTCAGCTGCCACTCTGAGGTTAAACACAATTGGAAGGAGAAGGGAGAGAAGGTGAAAGGAATTCAACAAACTTCTGCTGAGTCATCTATTAGGAGCCAGAGCTTATACATATGCTTTTACATCTTAGTAAGTTCTCAAATCTTCAGATAAACGGTGAGATCCTAGCTGGGTCTGTCTACCTCCATTACCCCCAACTCTTCCGTTTATTCCCGTCGTTTCCTCTGCAGCTCCTGTGAATATTCCAGCAGCATAGATCTGATCACGCCTCTGCTTGAGTAGATTTGATGGATCCTCATCATCTACAAGATCAAATCCTCACACTTTAGTTAGGCACACATGGTCCTTCACAAGAGCCCCAGCCTGAAGTTCTAGCCCCATATTATGCCCCCAACTCTCTCCACCTGCATGTCTCCCAACCATCCCAATGTGCTTTCCTCAAGGACATTGCTCTCATGCCTCTATTGGTGTCTGTATGTTTTTGAACATACAGTTCTCTTTGCCTTAATTGTCCCCCCAACCCCCCAACCACCACCCCTCTCCCTCTCTCCCTCTCTCTCTCTCTCTCTCTCTGCAAAAGATCATCAGTTATTCAAGATCTAGGTCAAATATCCATGAATTCTTCAAGCAGTTAGTTGCTTCCTCCTATACTCCGAACGTACCTCTATTTAGCTCAGACAATATTATATGTGCATTAAAGTCATCCTTTTGCCTGGCTGTCTCTCTCACCAGTATATGACAATCTAGAGGGCAGGCCTTAGGTCTTCATCTCTGCATCTTCAGGGACTAACATGCTTCCTAGCCTGGGGTATAGACTTGTAATCAATGCTTGTTGAATGAATATGATCACTGGAGCTTTCACACTCACAGTCGGTCTTAATTGGTGTTTGCAAGGATTTTATTCCACCCTCTCTAGTAGAAGCTTATTCATGTTTAGACACAGAAGAAGAAAATATGGAATATTGTTGCTGTGGAAACAAACTTGGAACATGACTTTCTTTGCTCCTTTATATAAATGTAGGAGCCATATCTCATGGCTAAGCTGAACAGGAATACTTACACAATGGCATTGAAAGCATGGAGCTTGCTCCCAAGGCACTGCATGGCAATCAGCTATGCGGACCGTGGAATGCACGCCATGTGCCATTCTAGCATATAATCTTCTCACTTTGATGCGCAGTCACTGGGTTAAATATTATTTTCAGCGTATCCTACAATAGAATTATTGCATTTCTGTGGATTTCTATTGAGGGATTTAAAATGTTTTAAAATCACACAGTATAACAATTTTTCAAGAGTAAAAAACACTTACCCGTTATTTTTAAAAGTTCCTTTCAAAAGCCTCTATTCTGTCTTAGGTATTTGGGATCAGCCCTCATGGAAAGGTTCTCTTAAGCCTCTGTAGAAATTTTTTCCTTTTCCTCCCGTGAACGCCTACGAAAAAGGTAGTAAAAAAGTAATAAGAAAATACTTTGCATTTTATGATATTTCTCCTTGTGGAATGATTCTTTGTCTGACCACTTTTTCTCCTGAATAATTATTTTACTGGAAGGAACATGCAGAAATTTAATTATTTTCTTCACCTTAATGGATCAAAAGACCATTTTTATGTCGTGTCTGATCTCTGGGGTTCTACAGCTTGACTTCCACCATGCTGATAACTTTCCTGGCTCTCGGTCTAAAGTGCAGTGTCAGCCCAAATATCCTTACGTCAAAAATTACAAAAATGGGGGAGTTTCTCATTTTAACCTGGATAAGAGATATTACATAATTCTAGCATTAAAAACAGGCTCATGACAGTACTCAAACTTTCTCCACAGGCTTCCACGCACCAAGTGCACCTCGTGTAATAAATGTGTGACCCACATGTTAGCAGATTTGACACACTGTCCAAGATATTACACAAGTTGGGGGGGTGGGGGCTCCCAAGGCTGGGAGCTAGGAAATGCCTCTGGTTGTCTACTCAATTGACTCTGAAGAAAATAGAAAAGATAAAACTCAACTCACAGAGTTGTTAAAAGGATCAGTGAGATAGTGCCTGGGGATAATGCAGCGTTCCTTGGAGCTCTGTCTTCTTCACTGTGCATGCTCTACACCAGTCTTGGGTGACCCCCATCCACTTCGGAGAGAGTGTGCATACCCCAGTGCACTTCAGATTTTGCCCTCGAGTTTCAGCTCCACGCACCCAACCGTTTACCTGAATTTTCCACAGCCCCCTTGAACATAATATATACAAAATGAAACTCACCTTTGGCCTTTCAAAATTGGGTTCTTCCTGAATCTCCATCTTGGTAAGTGGCCCTGCCATCCATCCAGGTGTCTAAGCCAGAAATCCTGAACTCCCTTTTCACCCATGCCCACCCTTCATTTCCAACCAATCACCAAGTCCTGTTGATTCTATTTCCAAACCTTACTGGACCCCACTCACTTTTCTTCATCCTTCAGCACTGCGTTGGTTAAGGCCGCCAGTCTCTCTCACCTGGGCTCCTGCAGCAGACTGAGTGGGCCTCGCACCTCCAGTGCTGCCCTTCAATTCAGGCTTCACTGCAGCCAGAGTTCTGTCTCTCTTAAAGCACACACCTTCTCTCCTTTAAACCCTCTCATGGCCCCCCCATTCCCCTCCGAGCAAAGTCCAAGCTCCTTCTGATCCTCTCGGTCCTTTCCCTGGTTGATTCTCCAGTCTCTTTCCATTTCCCCCTCACATGCCACACTCCAGCCTTACTGAGCATCTCTTAGTTCCTCAAAGACACATTGTTTCTCTTACCTCCAGGTCTTTGCACTCACTCGGCCTTTGCCACAGGGTCAAGACTGGGGGCTATTAAACTGCAAATAGAGAAAACCCTATGGTTTCTCCTCTGACTCCTTCTTACAGTGAAGTGTTTTCACTCACCTTTCCTGTGAACTCCAGACCCATATTTCCATCTGTCCTCCACTTCGTCCCTCATTTGGACTTTTAACAGACATCTCAAAATTTCCCACGTCCAAAACTGATTTCCTCTGTCAACTTATACCCCCATTCTCCTAAATCCATGCACATACTAGTTGTTTGCATATTTATTTTGTGTATTATCTGTCTCCCCGACTGGAAGCTAACCTCCAACAGATGGAGTAACTTTTTTTTGCTTCACAGATGACTTCTCAGAGCCTAGTACAGTTCCTGACTGTTATGGACTATATTTTTGTGTCCCCAAACCAAATTCATATGTGGAAACCCTACCCCATAATACTTTTAAATGGTGGGCCTTTGGGAGGTAATTAGGATTAGACACAGTCATAAGCGTGGAGCACTCATGAATGAGATCAGTGCCCTTGTAAGAGTCAAAAGAGAGCTTGCTTCCTCTGCTCTCTTCTCTGCTATATGAAGACACAAGGAGACGTTGGTAGTCTGCAACCCGGAAGAGGGCTCTCACCAGAACCTGATTGTGCTGGCACCCTGCTCTCAGACTTCTAGCCTCTAGAACTGTGAGAAACAGTATTTTGTTATAGCATCCAGAATGGACTAAGACATTGACACATAGGAGACATTTGCTAAATGTCTGTTGAATGAATAAATGACCTTATAGCAATAGAATGAAGGTGGACTGAAACTTACCCAGTATTCCCCAGATCTGGAGAGCCACAGCACAATAGAAAGATCATAGATGCCGTCAGACAGATCTGTCTAGTTGTGTGACCTAGGGTAGCCCGTTTAATCTCTTTCAGACATTTTTCTCATTTGGTGAAAAGAAGATAAGATGGCTCACAAGATCGCTGTGGGTTGATTGATATAATCGGCTTTAACCATACTGTGGTTGGCCCTCAATAAATATTATTCTCTTCTCAACTCCTTAAAAACTTGGCAAGGTAGCAAGCCTTATCCAAAGCAGACCTCAGATGAAGCAACTCAGGGATTAATCAAACTGTTTTATAAGGAGCTCATCTTATTAAAAGTGCTATTGCTCTTACGGGGAGGAGCAGTTTAGTGTGAGGGTCAATCAAAAAGCACATTCTTGTAAATAGTTGCTCAAGGCATGGTCTCCTTGAGCAGAATTGGGGGCATGACTCCCCTTCCCACATATTTCTCCCAACTCACTGGGAAGTGTTTATTTGAGGCATTGTTTATGGACCTTGGGTCCTGTGGCTTGCCCTCTTGTATAATGCCTAATAGCTGTGCATTTATCTATAAAGTTGCTTTTGCTGCAGTGTGGCCAACAGTCTCTCAAGGGGATTAGAGTGGGAAGGGAGTTGACACCAAAGACCCGGGCCATGCTAGGGAGACTCCAAAGTTTCTGAAGAAATGAAATGAAAACACAGTTTTGCCCAGTGCTTACGATTGTCAGGGCAAAATAAAACACAGTTCTCTTCTGATGTGAACTTGCTAAGGTACATTCGTGGGGTGATGCTTGCAGACATCCTGCAAGGACACTGATGTTTGCTGACAACTGCAGCAACCCACAGGAACCGAGCATATTGGGCAGGGAAGGAACTCCCACGGCATATAAGAATCTGACATGGTAGAACGAAACCTCAGGAATCCTTGCTCTGAAGACCAGGAAAAAGGAGCAGAGAAAGATGAAATGAATGGACGAGGGTCACACTGCTGGTCAGGAGCAGAAAGATGACTCAAACCCGGTGTTTGGAGTCTCAGATCTAGACCCTTTCTACCACGATATGCTTGTAATAAGGAAAGAGAGGCCTAAAGAAGCTAAGCGACTTCAGTTTTCAATGAAATTTTTAAGATTGTTCTCCATGATCAGATTGAAATGACCTAAAACAGGTCAGCATTTAATAAATGAGATAATGTATATGAAAGCGCATTGTAAACTATAAAATATTGCCTAACTATTGAATACATTGCTGATTGAAATCTGTGATGTTAATAAATAAAGTGGTCTGACTAAATGCATGTGATCGTACAATATTACATGTCATACTTTAACGACGACCAAACACAGAGAGTGATTTCACCTGTTTTGCCAGCTGTTCCATCAACTCTCTGTTGCTGACTTCAGAGGAGGTAACACATCGATCACAAATTTATACAAGGAAAATTTGCAGGAAAATTAATTTTTACATGGTGGTTTTTACTAACATTTTTTCAATTATAAAAAAATGTGTAAGTATATTATTGTAGAACACTGGGAAAATACAACAAAATATAAAAGAAAAAGTAGAGGGCCGGCCCCATGGCTGAATGGCTAAGTTTGTGCACTCCACTTCAGCGGCCCAGGGTTCACCAGTTCAGATCCTGGGTGCAGACCTACACACCACTCACCTAGCCATGCTGAGGCAGCATCCCGCGTAGAGGAACTAGAATGACCTGCAACTAAGATATACAGCTATGTACTGGGGCTTTGGGGAGAAAAGAAAAATAGAGTCAGAGTGGCAACAGATGTTAGCTCAGGGCCAATCTTCCTCACTAAAGAAATAAATTAATTTAATTAATTAATGAAAGAAACAACAAAAATTATCTGCAAAACTACCCCTGGAAAGAAATACTATTAAAATTTTAGTGTGTTTTTCTCTAAAATTCTCTAAAATACTAATATCCTATAAGTACATACTATATATGCAGTTTAAAATACATATCTTCAAGTAAATTTATTTGGTGACTATTCTTTCTGTTAGTATTTAAGAATACTATTATTTCTTCATACAGCACTATCATAATTTATTTATCCACCCATCTATTGTTGGACTTTTACTTTGTCACCAAATTTTCACTGTTATGAAAATTTATGAAATGAAAACAGTACCTCTCTGGCCACACTTCTGATTTTTACCCTTCCTAGAACAGATTCCTAGAATTTGGATTATTAGATCAAAGACTATGTCAATTTTTAACGTTCCTCAGAAGGGTTGCTCAGTTGCCCTTCAGAGACTGTGACCTATTTATACTTGGACTAGCGCTGTGTGTGAACGGACATCTCGCCCATCCTTGCCAGCACTGCCAAAAACAATATTTGACAATGAGTAAAAGTTTGATGAGAAACAGGATATTTACAGGGTCTCTAAAGAAATTCCTAAAAGGTGCCTAATAACTACAAAGGGAAAAATAATTACTTTGCAGAAGAGAAATCTTGTAGATACCACGTTAACAGGGATCCACGTTAGTGTCATCGATAATGGGATGAGTTGATGTCATATTCCTCATAATAGGATGCACACAGAAGGCTACAACATTACTTCTGAGATATTCCAGCCAAAAATGCATAACCTGAGTCTAATCATGGGGAAACAGCAGCCAAACCCAAATGAAGAGACATTCAATAAAATAAATGATCTGTATTCTTCAAAAATGCCAACGCTGTGGGGTATTTAATGTTTCCCGGTTTGCCTTGTGATTGAATTCTGTTCCCCATCATGTTTTCTGAGTGGCATTGCTAGCAAGAGGAAAGCTACTGGATTTTGTACATTTTTCTTTTATGCCACCAATTTACTTATTATGAATTCATGTTAAGAGCTTTCAGCTGATTCTTTGCAGTTTTTTAAAGATATATAATCATATTGTCTGCAAATAACAGTAATTTTGGTCTTCCTTTCCAATAATTTTACCTTTTATTTCTGCCTGATGTCTTATTGCATCAGATAGAATTTCCAGAACAGTGCTACATAGTAATACAGACATCCAGCACCTCTGCCTCTTCCTGGCTTTAACGGGAATGTTTCTGGTGTTTCAACATTAAGGATGATACAGGATGTCAACAAGCAACGTTGTGTGTTAAAGGGGGTATCTTCCTACTTCTAGATTTCTAGGAGGATTTTTTTATTTTAATCAGGCGTGAATATTGAATTTTATCTGAACATCTTTTTGTCCTCTGTTGAGATTATCATCTGGTTTTTCTTACTGAGATTGTTGAGCTGATGTCAT